CCCCACCCCTCCCAACTCCATCCCCCCGCAACGCACATTACCCACCTCCGCCCACCACACCCTACCCCCTCACGCCGCCCAATCCTGGCCGGGCTTATAGCCCCGACCAGGCCACGTAGACCACATACATGCCGCCGCCTCCCGCTGCTGCCGCGATCCCTACAGGGGGTCAGTAACACGGCACACTCTCAATCCGAGCAACTAAGACACATTAAAAAATAGAGAACCAGATAAGGGAAGTTTGAACTTCAGTGAGTTCACCCGGAACCAAAATCCCGTCCCGCTACCAACGCAAACAGACAACCTCAACTATTATCTTTTCAACTCATACGTTCTTTCACATTTTCGACACGTAGGCCTACCACGTAAGCAAATTAGAGCAAAGAAAGCCAGAACGACAACATCAAAACAGCAATCTAAAAACCAGAAAACGAAGGAAAAAGGAAAAAAAGGAAATCTCATTGCCCAAACCCCCCAAATCAAAAAGACGAACAAGAAAAAAGAAAAAAGAGATATTGGAAGCAAAGCACGCCCCAAATTTCAACACCAGGCGCATGTTTGTACTTTACTAGCTCGAATCTCGTCAACGTCAAATCGTGTAATTGCATTGCTACCGTTGTGTTTGCTGTTATAGCCAGGCGATCGAGAGCTCGTCCAGCGGAGGGTAGCGCAGCTGTCTCCACCCCACCCAAACCCAAATACCAAAAAGAAGGAAAAAAGGTAAAAAGGGAATCTCATTGCCAACCCCCCCCCCCCAAATTAAAAAGACGAAAAAGAACAAAAGACAAAGAAATATTGCAAGCAAAAACACTTCCCAGACTTCAACACCAGTCGGGTGTGTTTAACTCTCTAKCTCGGATCTCGTCACCTTCAATTGCTGTATTTGCATCGCTACTGTAGTGACTGCTGCAATAGCCAGGYGATCGAAGGCTCGGCCAACGGAGGAGATCGCAGCCATCTCCACCCCACCCAGGCCAAGATGGCATMTGCAGCCCCAGTCACATTCCAACGCCGCTTTTCTTCAGTGGTGGCAACCAACACAAGAAATGCAGACAAAAACCAACAAACAAATGGAGCACTGGTCRACCACGAAACCCTCCGTTTCCTACTGGAATCGCCGCAAATCAAAGSGGAAAAAGTTATAAAGRAGATTCAGCAGGACGGAGAGGAAAAGGAAATCACAGTCTGGTGCTATCCCAAGGAGAAAATCGAAACCACCAACGCTATGTACGCGAAACACGGTCTAGTCTTCACTTTTTCCAACACAGGGGCTCGCCTCCCAGAAATCGAGAAACGCAAATGGATCACGAAAACTGTGCAGGGGCACGAAAATCTCAGATCCAGCACTGACAAATTCTCCATCCTGGTACTCAGCAAAAACATGATGGTGGTGCTATTCAAAGACGCCGACCAAGCATCAAACTTGATCAACAGACACACCACACTGAACTGCAACAGATCAGTGTGCTCACTGTCCCGCTGGAAACAAGAGACAACATAGGAAGCAATGATATCCCCGGCAACAGCGCAAAAACAGCGACTCATGAGGGATGAATTCTGGGTCCAGTTTGATAACATCCCGATCAGAGGGCATCCACTGATCAAGGACAGATTGGAAGTGGAGTACCCAAACAACGAAGTGTTGAAATGGGTACTTCCAACCCCGGAGTTTCTGGCCCCACACTGTGACTCTATCACAACTGTTTTGGAAGTAAACACAGATTCGAATCCTGAATTCCCGGAAGAATGGGAATTCTGCATAGGGGAGGAGGCATCCTCGGTCACAGTCTCAACGAAAGATGCCCCCATCTGCTTCAGGTGCAGAGAGAGAGGGCACCTGGGCACTGACCCAGCGTGCCCCAGATCCCCCGAACACTCCAAAGAGAAAAAGCTAAGACAGAACATGCTGGTGGAAGTCGAAGAGGCAAAGGGGATATGGTTCGTCAACGACCAGGATTACAACGGATGGGTCTTCGACGACACCATCGACGATCCGAGATAGATCTGGACTTACAACACGAACCCTTCAACGAAACAGCCAGACATTTTCCCGCCCTCAGATAGCAGATGGCACGCAGTGGGAGCAAAGAAAGTAACAGGTATCCCAGGCAAAATTCACAAGGATCAGATCATCGACCCACGGGCAATCAGGGAAGAGAAGAAACACGAAGATCTGTTGTGGGACATGGAGACAATCAGGACAAAGACAACAGAAACGTGCCAGAACACTAACCTCGACAACAACACCCTGTTGCAGGAAGCAAAACAAACCCTTGAACACCGCCACCCCAAACCAGAGCTCCCCCCTGCACTCAAGCGGAACGCCTCTCCCTCCGCCAAGATCTGTCATGAGGACAGAGCAGGAAAGAAGAGGAGGGCAGCACAGGTAAGATGCTCAGACCTGAGCACTCCCCCACGGATGATGTCCCACCCGGAACAGACCCGATCTTACCTGCAGAAACCAGAACAGGAATGGACATCTCAGCTACGGACACTTCACAAAACAACGCGAGCCCCATTCCCTGGCTGGAAGAATACCTGCAGAAAGCAAAATATGAGAGGGAAAAAGAGTTCGACATCAGGCTGGCATGCATGAAACACCTGGAAAAGTCAGGGAAGCCAGCCACCGGAAAAACAGTGGCTGGAATTCCGCAGTCCAAGAACTTTTTTGACCTGCTGCGCATGAACTCCGAACTCTCGGAATTCAGCGCATTCAGGTATTTCGAAAAAAAGAGGGAAAGAGAATCTGYTGGAGCAGAAAGTGGCTYAGGSTTCGACCCCCAGACATCAGCGGACTCGATCCGCGACATGGTTTCCAAAAAYTGGAAACCATCGAAGGGAARGGACAAGAGACCAAGGGGGMCCCCCAAAGACGAAGCTGGCAGCAAGAACGAACAGCGCAGACTCACGCAGGAGATTGCAACAGTCGCAGCTCAGACGAAGAGACTGTTCGACCAGAACCAGGACTACAAAAGGGAGCAAGGCGAGAAGTTTGTCACAGTCCGCATGATCGTAGAGAACAAGGCGCCCAGCGTGCCGAAAGCAGCGATTACTGATAGGGGATCCATCAAGGCATTAAGACCGTTGCTTCCAGTGCGGTACAGGAGCAAATTCAATGAGTGGCAGGTGGCCAAAGACGCAGCATTCACAATCCCAACCCTCGACGACGACAGAGCCCTGGCCAAGAGCATCAGGGACAACATCTCAACGGAGACTCCGATGGGCGTGTACGGGGTCCCACCACGCGAACAGACAGCCGAAGGGAAGACGCTGGAAGAACCAATCTTCACCCCCTTCGACCCCATCCTGGTCAAGCTCGACGAGAGGGAAAAACTCAGCGAAGGCCTGACCTGGAGGGCATGGGACACAATCACAATGCTGCCATACAACGTGCTGAACGGGAGGTTCAGCACGACCGACATCATTGCAGATTCGCTGGCGGACATCATTAGGACCCGACTATTGACCTCCAAGACCTCGCCGCTGGACGAGGCAACTCCCATCGATGTGGACATGGGAAGGGAAGATTCTGACACGGAGGACGAGGACGACGTAGAGAGGGAAGAGGACAACAAGATCTCCCCAGGGGGAGACAACGATGAGCCTCCAACGAAGTCGGATAGCTGCGTTGGGGAGTACGCCCTGAGCTCCTCAGCAGCAAGCGAGGACAGCAGGGACTCCGACACCGACAACAGCAAGACCCAGGCAGTTGTGGACTGAATCAACTTACCATAGCAGAATTACAACCCCACCCCACAAACTAACGAAATCACAGCACCAAGAACCAAAGGAAAAAAAAAAAAAAAAAAGGAAACAGCAATAGGAAGTCATGCAGAATTCCACAGCAATTAGGAACGGGCAGACTAGCCCAACCAGAATTAACTGGCACACTAAGGGGCTTCAGATAATCAGCTGGAACATCAATGGTCTTGGGAACATTCTGACCGACGAAGACAAGCTCAGAGAAATCCGGACAGGCATGGTGGGGAAAGACATCCCCAAACCCGACCTCATACTCCTCCAAGAGACACATCTTTCCAACCTGAATAGTCACCCGAGGATACAGCAAAAGATAGAGAGAGCTATAGGAGGATGTGCAGTCGCAATATGGTCCAACAGAGACGGCCAAAGCAATAGAGGGACAACGATACTGATCCCAAAAACGTCAAAAATCCTGAGCGAAGGTCAGATCCTTAGCAGCGAGGGGGATAGAGAGGAAGGGAGATGGTCGTGGATGGACATTAAGTGGCAAGGTGAGGATCTGCGAATTCTCAACCTGTACGCACCCAACACGGAAGCCGACAGACTGATCTTCTTTGAAAATATTAAACCCCTCATCCCCAACCCACAGCCAATAATCATTGCAGGAGACTGGAACACAACCCTGGACCCGAACCTGGATCGGATCTCAAGAACGGTACTAATGGGACCCTTTTAGAGCGGGCACCAGGATTCAAAACCTGATGACCGAATTCAAACTCTGCGACCCCCTCAGGGCACTGCACCCGGACAAGAGAATTTTCTCCCGGATAAGGAGAAACCAAGCCAACCGGACCTCGCTGTCCAGGATCAACTACTTCCTCATATCCGAGAGCCTCCTAGGGACAGTCAAAGAGGCCAAAATCCTCCCATCAGCAGCCTTCAAAGGATTGGACCATAAACCCATTTAGATGATGCTCAATTTCAATGTACCAGTTCAAACAGGTCAAGGTTTCTTCAAGCTTAATAACTCACTATTAAAAACCGAAAGAATGAAGACGATAGTCCAAGAACACTGGGCTATCAATAAGCAGCGAGAATCAAGGAGAACAAGTAGTCACCGGTGGTTCATTGATGGCTACACAGATTTAACACGAACAGTATCAGCGGAATCTAGAGATATTGCTAGAGACCGAAAAAGAAGAAGGGAAGAACTCCAATTCGCGATGGCCGTCGCTGAAGAAAATCTGGTGGAGGACCCAACTAGCAGTTTCTACCAAGAACTACTAGACGACACCAAGGAGGAACTAAGCGAATGGAGAAGATGGGAACTCAAAGGTTTACAAATACGGGCGAGGATGACAGACTATGCACTTAACGAGTCAATGACAAAATTCTTCTTCTCCAAAAGCAAGGCGAACGCCAGGAACAGCATGATCGAGGCACTAATAGACCCATTGGACTCTGGGAGCACAAAAACAACAGGCCCGGAGATGGTAGGGATAGCCAGAGCCTTCTACCCAGATCTGTACGAATCCAAGACCCCCTCACCCCTGACAACAGCAAACCTAGCAGCCCGCCAGGCGATGCTATCATACCTCGACAGAACCATCTCAACCAATCAGGCGGAAGGCCTGGACAGACCACTGACCCTGGCCGAACTGCACACAGCCTTGAACCAGATGGGAAATGACAAAGCCCCGGGCATCGACGGCCTCTGAAAGGAGTTTTGGAGCTGCTTCTGGCCGACACTGGGGGAGGACCTACTCAACTTTTTTAACGAAAGTATGCACAAAGGAGGCCTAGGCAAGGAGCTGAGCACCAGCATAGTCTCACTGCTTTACAAAAAGGGAGACAAAGAAGACCTGAAAAACTACAGACCTATTTCCCTACTAACCACTCCATACAAAATCCTAGCCAAGGCGCTTGCAAACAGAATCACCAAACWAACGAACARYTGCTTCCACATCGATYAAGCAGGCTTCATCCSAGGTCGTTACATATTAGACAATGTGATGACCCTGAATGAAGCAGCAAAAAAGATCATGGAGAAACGAATGAAGGCAGCAATCCTGTTCTTCGACTTCGAGAAAGCCTACGACCAAGTTAACTGGGATTTTCTACAGGCATGCATGGAAAAAATGGGGGTAGGCCCGAACTTTAGAAGTTGGGTTAGAATTCTATACGCAGATGCAACAGGAAGAGTCCAAGTCAATAGAATCCTATCAGAAACCTACCCAATCTCACGGTCAGTCAGACAAGGCGACCCACTGGCTCCTCCCATTTTTCTTTTCATAATGGAAGCCATAGCCTCATTTCTCGGCAAAGACCCATCCATCGACCGCCTCACAGAACGGAACTTCAATCCGTTACACGACTTCGCCCTACCCACTGCACTCATGTTTGCTGACGACCTTACAGTACTCATTAGAGCTAATAACAGCTCCTTCCAATCACTGGTAAGGGCAATGGAAGCATTCAGACTGGCTTCAGAAATGAGGATCAATTGGAACAAAACCGAAGGCTGGTGGTTAGCAGACGGCACCCCTCCCCAACCGCCGGACACAACCACACCCATGAATTGGACCACGGGAGAACAAGCACTACGGTTCCTGGGCATCATGGTTAACAAAGAAGGGGTSTGGCCGGGAATGGGCCAGAATCTGATAGCAAGAGCAATCACCCGCCTGGCCCTGTGCAAAAATGTGCAGGCCTCACTAATCGGACGGGCACTTCTTATCAACACAACGATCTTCTGTACACTGTGGTACATGGCATCAATCTGGTCCCCCCCCGACGACGACCTCAAGGAGCTCAAGAACAGGGTGAGGTGCTACCTGTGGACAGGTGACCCAAACAGAACCACCTGCATCAACAGGGTTGCATTGAACCACATCACCAGGAAGCCACAAGAAGGGGGCCTTGGAATAATCGACCCAAAACAGGAATCCATAGCTCTGCAGAATGGATCTACAATAATATAAGAACCGCTAACGTCATATTGCACGGCCCAGATTGTGGGCCGGTCACCACCCGCGGACGGCCCAGATCGCCAGCTGATGAGAAACTTTTCTCATCGGCCTGCGATCTGGGCCATCCGTGGGTGGTGACCGGCCTGCAATCTGGGCCGTGTGATACCGGTTCGTACCGGAAGTGGCGCACGGCCCGCCCAAACAGCCCTTTCGCTTTTTCTTTCTTCTTTTTTTTTCGTTGTTTTTTCGTTCCGCGTGCCCGCCAAATCTGGGCCGTTGTTTTTTCGGCCCGCCCAAACGGCCATCCCGCCTGCCCGCCACTTCTGAACGCGCCCCCGTGCCCAGCCCTGAAATCACCCGTGCACTTTTTCATTGGCGGGCTGTATATGTGCCCGCCATTCGAAGGGCGGGCTTCTCAATCGGACGCTATGACACTACGGCAAGCGACGGCGGCGACGGCATACGACGTGCTCATCGTGCTCTCTCTCTCTCTCTCTCTCTCTCTCTCTCTCTCTCTCTCTCTCTCTTTGTGTGTGTGTGTGTGTGTGTGTGTGTGTGTGTGTGACTGTGCTCTTTGGTGCTCGGTGCTCATCGTGGATACGTGCTTTTCGTCACGGGCTGATCGTGGATCCGTGCTGATTGTGGATCCGTGCTTTTCTTTGGTGCTCATCGTGGATCCGTGCTTTTCTTTGGTGCATGATCACGTGCTCATCATCGATCCGTGCTTTTCTTTGGTGCTCATCGTGGATCCGTGCTTTTCTTTGGTGCATGATCACGTGCTCATCATCGATCCGTGCTTTTCGTGCTCATCGTGGATCCGTGCTTTTCT